TCTGAACTTAGCTTGCTTTATGCTTGATTACAGGTCCTTGAACCATTCCATACTCAATAATTTAATGCATATTCAATGTGTTAAGGCCATGTTCTTTGTGTTCTAACATTGCATAGTGGATTAATCCTAAACTAAATAAAGTGAACTTTCCATTTTTGAAAAGATTAGCTTTATGTCAAATTGAAATCCAAGAAGGTACAAGCAAAATCCTTTTGGCACAAGATTATAGGCAAATTGCTCTGATCAAGAGAGGCTTATGCAGCAGGATTAGAGGCCCCTACTGACCTAAAACACAAAGTGATCATTGCTTGCTTCATTTTCAAGTAACATTGCATAACTTATCACAACTCTCATCTCAGCATAGGGACACAACACAAAAGCTATCAAACACATTCCAAATTACCCAACCAAGCTTTTGCACGAGCCATTTGCCTCTCAAGCACTCTCCATCTCAGAAACACCACAAAACTGCTCAAACAGAGCAAGCCCTGCAGATTGAGTGCTATCTCTCAATCCCTTCGAGCATTCTTGTCCAAACTTGTTCCTCTACCTTCCTTACAACATATGCAAGCTAACCATGTTCTGAAACCTGACCTGTAACACCTCCAAGCCACTTCACCATTTTTAAATTTCTGTTTCGCAGTTGGAGTTCACTAGCTCGATTCAGGGAGTTTCAAGACAAAGTAGGACTTGGAAAAGCATCCTTACACTTCAAGGAAGCTATACAAGTCATCATTTCACCCTGAAACATCCTCCATTGCAAAGCTCGATTCCAACTGAACAGGTATATTCATGGAGTTCTATCTCCCTTATTAGGCATTGTTAGCTTTAGGTTTTTGAAGAAAACATGTCACAATCATAGCCCTGAACATGCTCATATGATTAGATTTCATTTATATTTCGTGTGCTTAGAGAATTTCATGTCTGAACATTGATGAAAAGTTAGGTCAGAAATTGGGGGAGGAGAAATTCTCCCTCATCTTAGAGAGATAGGTCAAGTTCTTTATATGGTTGAAACCGTCTCTTAATGCTCTACACTTTTCATGTTATGAGTTTTGCTTGAAAGTCCAGGAATCCAGAGATAAAAAACGCGTGTTTTGCTTGAAGGATGTTGTACAGAGGTTGAAGAAGGAGTGGTCTGGGCTGGGCCTAGAACTATTTTCTTTTCACACCCTATTTCCATGTTTACACCCCCTGAGCCCATTTGCTTCATTTTTGACTCTTTTTGACTTTTTCTTTTTTGGTTGACTTTGTTTATTTTTTCTCATGGCATTAAAAAATTAAAAATATTTTTTCCATCATTTTTTGAATATATGGCATATTTATTTGATTTATTTCTTTTGTTTGCATATAAATATTATATATATACTATTATTAGAATAAATAGAAAAATAGTGTAAATACATTTTTTTATTTTTATTTACCTTCTGAAAATATTTCACATAAAAAATACTCTTTTTATTTGTCTTATTAAAATCTTAAATAAATATTTATTTTGTGTATAATGCATATTTAAGAAATTAATATATGTATATATATATGTTTATTAATATATTTAAGATAAAATATAAAAATACTTGAATTTTTCATTTTATTAATATTTGATACAAAAATACTTTTTTCATAATATACTTCATTTTATTTTATTTTTATAAATAATAAATAAATAGTTGTATTAAATTAGATAATAATGCATTTTCTTTTAAAAATTAGGGTTTTTGCCCTAAATTCAAAATACTCCAAAAAATAATATAATTTTTATTTTCTTTTCTCTTTTACTTAAATAATATTTTTTTTCATACATATAAAACATTCTTTTGCATCTTGCATTGTTATTTAATTTTTGTACATTGATTAAATTGCAAATATTCAAAATGATGTAATAATTTAGATTTAAATTCTTGTCAATATCCCCATTTGAACATTTGTACCCCCCTTCCCATATTTGGTTTTGTAATAGCTTAGTAAATTTAATTTTGCACTTTATTGCTTTCTAATGATAACATGTTAGAATTAGGGTTTGTATGCGAAAAAACGAAAAAATAGTTTGACCTAATACAAGACAAATGAGCATGAAAATAAACAACACATCTCACACTTGCACCCCTAGGGTATTCCACTTGTTGCCTTCAAATAAATGGGCCATATTGTATGTTGAACTTCTTTGGGCAAAGCAAACAATTTGAATGATCATAGTCCCTCGACAAAACTTTTCAAAGCAAACAAAAACAAATGATCAAGTCCCTTAAAGAAATTGCCCAAAGACATTTAACGTCGTTACAATTATGGTCTAAACGATGACCCGCGCCCGTCCCTTTCACATCCTAACACAAGGTTGTCCACCAAATACAATGGTGGAACAAACTTGTTAAAAGGGTTAAAAGCATAACAATAATCTTTTGAGAAATTTAGGAGTAGATAACCTCTTAGTTACTTGAATCAAACTTGCAAAACAAAACACTTGCCTAATTTCAAAATCACACATCACTACACTTTCAAAACAACTTTCAAAAAAACAAATGAAAATTTTTTCAAAAGACATACATCTTTGTATACATCCCCACATGGATCATTACAAAGGTTGCCACCACATTGGCCTCTTTTCAAAACATTTTCAAACCCACACACTCAAGCACCATTTAAAACAATTGAAAACAAAAGGCAAGTGATCTAAGCAAGTAACTAAGAGCCCATGGATAACCATGGATAGAAAGGGTGCTAATACCTTCCCTTTCTATAATCTACTCCCCGAACCCAAGAAAACATCTCAAAAGGTTTTTGCTGTGCTTTTTAACCTTTCCTTAGGATAAAATAAAAAGTCGGTGGCGACTCTTGCTCAACCGAAACATTTGCGAAAACAAACGCAAAACCTCAAGTCAGTTCTCCCACCGTATCACAGTCACCAAAGCAATGGTAGGACGCCTTAGCGGTAACCCTAATGTCTTAGATCATTTGTTTTGAGGCAACAATATCCGAGGCAACCATTTCGAGGCGACTATGATCTTTGGACAAGAGGGCGACCTCTAAAGTGACCTATACTCAATGACCGCGTTACAAAGGCAACCAAGTGGGGTGTACCCTAAGAGTGCGCATGTGCGAGTGTGTCATTTTCAATTTATTTTATCTTTGTACATGTTAATGGTTATCTAAGTTGATTTTAGGTTAAACATTCATTCTTGTCATGCATTCCTATTATCAAACATCTAACAGTTATAATTTGCGGAAAATAAATTGCGGAAATTAAATTACAAGGCATCGGGTATTTACATTTCCAAAAGCAACCCTTTGAAATTTAAATGCAGAAAAATAAATAAAGCGATAAAAATAATTAAATGGTCCTAATTATCTATTACATTCCGGGAACAAGTACAATATTGAATAAATGAAAATGAAATCGCGTGCGAGAAATTAAATCGAGCGCAAATAGGGTTTTGACCCTTTTTTGAGAGAAAAGTATCTTTTTTGTTGTTTTTTTTATTTAAGGAAGAGATTAATCTAAGTTAATCGTTAAATTAATAAATAAATAAATTAATTAATAAAAATAAATATTTTTTGGATTTTTGGTATTTAAAGAAAGAAAATAAAAGTCAATAAATGTTAGTAAAAACCTAATTAAGTCTAATTGATTTTAATTATTGCAAAAAATATATTAAAGTTAATTCTAATTAATGGCCTAAATTAATTAATAGATTTGTTAAAAAAATACTAAAATTTAATTTAATAAAGAAAATAATTTTTTGGTTTTAATTTTATAAAGGAAAAAAATGATGGGTTAGTTATTAAATAGAAATAATAAATAAATAATTAAAATAAAATAAAATAAAATATAGAGAGATAGAGGGTTTGGGCCTGAAAAGGGTGGTTGGAGGAGCAATTCTGAGGCCCACTAGGCGCTGGCCTTGTTGACTTTTTGGATCCCCTGCGCGTATGCTGACTTGACTCCATGGTGGACTCTCAATCTGGATCACCAGATATGGCCTTTGGCCATCTGGCTGTTGGAGATGTGGAGGCGCATGGTATGCTACAATGCTTGATTTGCACCGGATTACCTGAAGAAAAATATAACAAAGAATATGGGGGACCTAGGATTCGAACCCAGGTCATGTGGATGCTTGGATTGCTCGCTTCGCCACTAGGCCAGTGTGCTTTAGTTGTTAATATATTAAACAATTAAAGTAATAAGAGAAAACGCGTTAATGTGCCAGAAAATAAAAAAAATGCGCGAAAATTTGAAAAGGGCCAATCAGAGGAGGACACGAGGTCGTCCCTGTCCTCAGGCCTGTAACGAAGTTACCTGTGGATTTGAATTCGCAGCTAAATGCCTAGGTCATTCCCAAAATTCATCTCAGGCCATATAAATTCCTCCCAAAACCATGGTTGAGTTCGTCTTCCTCTTCCGGTCATGTCCATGGCCATCATTGGGGCTAATTTTACCTGTAATAAAAAACCCTAATCCAAGAGGAAAAACCCTAACAATGGCGTTTTGCATCACAGAGCAGATAAATGAAATCAAATAATATAGAAAGCTTGGAAATGATCTGGTGGTTACAAATATGCCATTGATTCTTTGTAATAATGCATGATTTTTGAAATACGAAATCAAATTCAGAGGGGGATCGCGTGACACTTACAGTGCTCTAAGAGGTTGAAAAATGCGTGCTTTGAATCCTAGAAGGTTGAGTAAACACCCAGCAATCGATTGGTATCAACCCCTGCTTCTGAAAACGCCTCAAAGCATGATTTTGGTTTCACACTTTTTAATGAATTTTGCAAGTTTTGTTTTGCTTATTTTTGCAGCCTCTAACCCTTGTAATCGTGCCTTAAGCTTCCTTATATATTGCGGAATGCATTAGGTTAAGAATTATGGATTGAATCCTTCCACATCAATGCCATGAAATTTGATTTGATTCACCATTACTAAACCTTCCAAAATTGTCAAAACTCAATCTTTTTGCACATGGATTGCTTGATACGAGTTTGATATCCTTACTGATGATGATTCAGTCCTGAAATAGCCAAAAAGATATCAAGTAATCAATATTTGGATTTTATAGGATTTAATTTGATTTAAAAATTCAATAAAAAATCAAATAAAATAATAAAAAAGAAATGTGATCTCAAGGATGAAGCTAGGACACGTGTGCAATGGGGAAAGCTCAAATCAAGTGAAAAAGAATGGGCCCATTTGACAAAATTTGAAGTTTTGGGGATAGTTGACTTTTGGCAATTTTGCAAAAATGCCCAACTTCAACAATGCATAACTTCTTCAACTTTGAACCTTTGGAGGTTTTCTTGGACTTTTTAGAAAGCTTGAGATGTTCTCTACCCAACCCTTTTGGTCTCATCTCATTTTGACATTCCATGCTCAAGTTATAAGCTTTGACAAAAAAAAAGGTGTTTTTGTTGACTTTCAAAAATGACCTATAATGTCCAAATTTATAACTTCTTGTGAGTGCATGTTTTGATCTTGGGGTATGAATATGGATTGTAGGAAATTGCATCCTATTCAAAATGAGATTTGGATGGGTCATTTCTCATAAAGTATGAGAAAGTTATGCTTGGTCAAAGTTGAGTTGACTTTTCCTACAAAACCCTAATTTAGCAACTTTTGAGTCTTGATGAATTTTGAGCAATCCTTGATGAATCATGATCAACCCTTGATCAAATGATGAAATATACTTCAAAATGAGAATGTTGACAAAAAATCTTGAAGTTTGACTGTTTATAGGTCACAGTTGACTTTTGCCTTAGCACAGTCGATTTTTGGACCCTTTGAGCAATTGACTGAGCAAATTTCCTCTGCAAGGCTTGAAATTTGACATGGGTGATCTTGAGAACATATTAGGACATTTGGGAGAACTTGAGGTCCGTTGGACTCAAATATCTTGATGCAACACAAAACTCTAATTTGATGGTTGACTGCCTTAGGAGATAGCCTGACTGTCCAACTCTTGAGCAATCTTGAGCCACTTGGAGATTTTTCTTGCAATGTCTTGAGAAATATGAGAGGGAAAATTTTGGGGTACAACACCTTCATTATACCATCGACATTTAAATCTTTTTGGTGTGATTTGAACATTAGCATGTTTACGTGTAGTTTGTGAAAACATTCAATCGAACACAGTTAATTTTGAAGTTCTTATTGTAAAACATGGGGTCTCAACCCCTAACTCTCTGAGGATCTTAAATTGGAACACCTTATGTTGAATACTATTCTAGTAATTCGAACCTATATTATATGTAACAAGTATATTACTAAATGACACAGCTACTTATTAAATCCATACGTCATATTTTATCAAATTTCTTCTTATTAAATCCATATTCATTTCTGTTAATATACAGGATGCACAATCATACACCTGTTTGTGTTTCATGGATTTATATAATTATCATATTATAACCCGATTACAACATTAAGGAGGACTATAGAATATTTGTTTTGAACTCGAATCATAAATTTGGTATAACACATAATAGACTGTCGAATTGACAACATAATAGTCTAGTTTGGATTACGCTACAACAGTAAATATTAAGAGCATGACAATTATAGTTAACGAACCTTATATACGTGGCATTTTTTGTTGGAGTAAGTTACATCCAATCTGAATATAATCATGTCTTCGGGTACGAACAGGATTGACTTGTAAAACTGGTCTCATTCATAAGCTAACTCGGTACGCTTCAGATCTTCTATATCTAAAATTAAAAGCATGCGAACCATTCTGTTGACACCGCAAAGTTCCAGAACCTCATAGTTGTGGTCTCTCAAAACTTGTGCAAAATCATCACGCAATATCTACATAAATAGTCAAGTTCATAATCAGTACATGAGATTTCGTGTATAGCTTAGAAGGAACAGATTAACATACAATTGTATTTTTACGCAACTAATTTTCTTTTCGATACTTTCATTGGTGTTATATCAACATCAAAAACAAATATCCCTTCGTTGTAGATAAATCGGCTGTGAGACTTAGGTAATTCTTGAGATGTAGTTAACTCTTTAAACCCGACAACCTCAAACACGTTGTTCCCGTAATAAGCAACAACCACTGACACATCATCTAGTAGTGAATAATAATTTTGTAGCTCCCACCAACCACTTAGAACAATTGGATGTTCCTCACTTTTGTTATAAATAACTGAATGTGTAATACCTTCTTTGTCTATGATGTTCCAGATTTGTTTTAGATCTACACTGTGATTTGTAGAAAACAAATGGTCGATCTCCGAAAACGGCTACAATGATATATCAGATCCAATATTATAACTTAACTTAAACTAAATTGCAAAAAATTACAACCACTGATGTTCAACTTGCAATTATAAGACACCAAATACCTTACTTGATAGGCTAACTTGGCAATTTCAAACGTGTCGATGATCTCCTTGTGAACCAATGTTTGAAGGCCATCCATGGATTTTTATTGTTGACTGGGCTAGTACTGCAAAATGTAGGTTTTGAGCAGCTTGAAACATTCAACACTCAGTTATAACTTTAAGTGATTCACCTAACACCAAAACCTATTTATTTTGTTATCAAGTAATAAATTCACGTGTGCACGTTCCATTACTTTTATTTATTAAATAAACCTAACTTTAGTGTGTTTTGGACTTTTGTTCTTTTGCCTTTAGTGTTATGTGTTTTCAAAACCATGCACGTGGTAATAAAGGCATAACTTCGCTTTGCTATACACTTTTATAACCACACCAACTCTTTTGAATGGAAACTAACTACATAATTTATGTCAATGTACATAAAGTTACCATCCACATGATGGACTTTCACATTCATAAGGGCCTCACATTTCAGTACACCATTTGTGTTAACAGACCATTACAACTCATATTTTACTATACAAAATATTCACTTACATTTAATGGATAACAAGGTTTTACAAATATTACATTAGAGTTCACATTAGTGGCCAAAAGTACATGAAGTACAAGGTTAATCATTGAAACTGCCATGAAGTACATGTCCAAAAGTACTGACTAACTACATGCTTCTTACATAACAACAGTTACAATATAACAAACTATACATTTCTAAGTCAAAACATATTAAATTCTACTTCAGGTTTGCATTGATAAAAGCTTTCAAAATTCCAAAATAACACAAGCAACAACCACTTCTTCAACCCTTAAAACGGTTCCTCAACAACAAGCACACCAGCTAACCATCCTAACTTTGATTTCAATCACCGAAGGATAACTGATAGAAAAATGCAGCACATCGCCTTCACATAAGTTCCTTCCTTTTGCAAACTTGTACCACCCACGTGCAAGGAACGTCTCCTTCGAATCAGACCTATTCAAACCAAACCTTTTCGAACCATACCTCATTTTCAGCACACACGGGTGGTTTTCATCTAAGTCTTCGTCGTACAGTTTGATGGTACTTGGTGGTTCCACAAGGCATTTTTCAACTACAGCGGAAGGAATTTGCTGCACAAGTTATGAACAACAACGAAAATGTTAAAACTTTTGCCTTTACTCTTACAAAATCATATGTCAATAAATGTTTTTTTTATTAACATACCAAAATGTTGGTTGAAACAACCTTTGGGAAATCAACGACCTTGCACCATCTCTCCTCATCCACCTCTTCGGTAATAGAAACATGTTCCCTAATTGGAAAAACAAAACCACATATAACACATGTTCTTGAAACTTACAAACTTAACATACATTAAGAACTCATATGAAAAGAACGCAATTGCATCCCAAAAATAATAAATATTACTTGTTCCCATCATCGCTATCAGATGGAATTGAAATCATATCATCCATAGAGGCACCAGGAGCTTTCATGCTTTCAACTACATATATTGTCTGGTCGTCTTGATTAATGTCCTCTTCAGCGACAATATTGTTTTCTATGGAAGCTTTCCCTTCGACTCAGCACAAACACCAACAGGAAGAGTGTTAACCACTTTTTCTTCAGCAGACCTAACTTCCTCCACATACCCGGTATACTCCTGAGTGAACCAACCCTATTCAAGATTGTTCAGACTAATTTCCTGCCACACAAACTTACCATTTGAGTTAACCCTTTCTGTTATCTCGTTCTTCCTCCCGCTCCAACTGGTCCCAATACAGCTCCATGTGTTTTCTGCTTGATTCCACATACTCCACGGTCACTCTCTTACTGGAAGAAAAAAATACAAATCAATTGATGACATCATGCATGCAAAGTGTTATACAACCACTCAAACTAAAGAAGCAAACTTTGTTAAGCTTTGGTTCTTAAAAATCAATTGATTCAATCTGAAACCCTAAACTTGATTCAACCAACAAAACATAACATCATATCAACATGCATAATAAATGACTGCATGTACTACCTAAAAGGGTGGATGAGGATGAAACTTACCATGGCGGTGAGATATGGACGGATTCAGCTTGACCTTTTGATGGACCTTCCTGTTGGAAAAAAGGATTCAAGAAAAATGAATATTGTGAAAAACAAGAGGAAGAAGAGAGAAGAGAGAGAGAGAGAGAGAGAGAGAGAGAGAGAGAGAGAGAGATTGATGAGTTAGTTACACTTATTGTTACTGCAGTTATGTGGATTACAAAGTAATGACCCTTTATATAGGCAACATGCCCGGGCCCAAATACAAGTTAAAGCCCAAATAACAACTAACAGGAATTAACCAACTAACACACCTTCTTAATTCATGTTATCGAGACTTCTCATCCCAATGCCTTTCTTTAACTCTTCGAATCTCACTTTCTTCAGAAGTTTGGTGAATATGTTAGCTAGTTGCACTTCTGTCTTGCAATGATTTATTTCAAGCTTCCCTTTGTTTACTTGGTCTCTCAGAAAATGATACCTTCGTTCAATGTGCTTACTTCGACAATGACATAATGGGTGATTTGCAAGATTTATTGCTGACTTGTTATCAACAAATAACTTCATCTTCGATTCCATTATTTTGAGCTCTTCAAGTAGCATTTTGATTCATGCTGCTTGGCATGCAGCATATGATGCAACCACATATTATGCTTCGCGTGAAGAAAAATCCATAATGCTTTGCTTCCTCGAACTACAGGAGTTTGGAGCTCCTTAGATCATGAAAATGTACCCTGCAGTACTCTTCTTTTCATCTTGATCTCCACTGAAATCTGAGTCATTGTATCCATGCACTTCGACCTTTGTACTGTTCTTCGATCCTTTTGGCAACAGCACACCATGATCAACAGTTCCCTTGATGTATCTCAACACCCTTTTTACTGCAATGAGATGACATTCCTGAGGCTTCTCCATAAATCTTCTCAACAATCCTAGACTTTGACAGATATCTGGTCTAGTATTGCAAATATACCTCAATGATCCAACGATTTGTTTGTAAAGGGTCGAATTTACAAACTCATCATTTGATTCCTTCTTTAGCTTTGCTCCAGCCTCTAATGGAGTAAAAACTGCCTTACAGTTTCTCATATTGAACCTCTTCAATATATCTTAAGCATACTTAATTTGATGCAAGAAAACTCCTCCTTCGATGTCTTTGAATTCCATTTCCAGGAAGTAGGAAAGATTCCCTAAATCATACATTTCGAATTCCTGCATTAACGTTGACTTTACCTTCATTATCTCAGCTTCATCTGCTCATGTAATGAGTAAGTCATCAACATAGAGGCATAAAATTATTTAATTGGCTCTTTTGACATCATTTACATACACTCCATGTTCAGAGACACACTTTATGAACCCTGCTTCGATTAAGAAGCTATCTATCCTTTTATTCCAAGCTCTAGGAGCTTACTTCAAGCCATAGAGAACCTTTCTCAATCTGTAAACCTTCGACTCCTGCCCTTTGACATCGAAGCCTGATGGTTGACTGACATAGACTTCTTCTTCCAGAGACCCATTCAAAAATGCTAACTTTACATCAAGTTGGTGCAATTTCCATCCTCTATATGCAACTATCAAAATAACAATCCTGATTGTTTCGATCCTAGCAACAGGCGCATACACTTCATCGAAGTCAATACCTGGTTGTTGTAGAAAAACTCTGGCCACCAGTCTTGCCTTGTACTTTGCAATCTCACCATATGGCCTTCGTTTCACCTTGTAGATCCATTTCACATCAATTGGTTTCTTGTTGGTTCTTTCGAAGAGCTCCCAAGTATTATTCTTCTCAATGGCTCTAAGTTCTTCTTTCATGGCTTCACACCAATTTGAATTGCTCAAGGCTTCACCCTAGTCAATTGGTTCTTCTTCACACATCATCATGGCTTCTTCGATTAAGTCACCATCAGCATTTATTGCTTGATCCGGAAACCTCTCATATCCAGTCAGCCTAGTTGACTCAGTTCTTGTTCTTGTGGATCTTCTTTCATTATGCACAAGTGGTTCTTCATTTCGACCAATCAAAGTATCACCTTGTTCATTTTGACTTGTCGAAGCTTCATCTTCTTCGAACACAGTTGTGACCGTGTCTGATTCTTGTTGAACTTCACTTCGACTCCAATACCATCCTTTGCTTTCATCTACAAGAACATCTCTACTGATCACTAGTTTATCTTTGATTGGTGAATACAACTTGTATGCACCAGTCGAATGATAACCTATGAGCACTGTGACTTCACTTTGATCATCCATCTTCTTTCTTAATTGTTCAGGTACATGCTTGAAACACATTGATCCAAAAATTCTAAGATGACATACATTTGGCTTCGACCCTGTCCAAGCCTCATGTGGTGTCTTTTCGACCATCTTCTTCGTTGGGCATCTGTTTAGAATGTATACTGTTGTCGAAGCTGCTTCAGCCCAAAATCTCTTAGGTATATTCTTAGCTTTCAACATACATCTGGTCATGTTCAGTACACTTCTATTCTTTCTCTCAACGATGTCATTATGCTGAGGCGTATAGGGTGCAACTGAAATAACAAGATTAATTATGACATATCCCAAGTGTTTTGATGATAACTAAATTATATTTAAGATAATTTATGCTCTAATGAATGTGTTTTGAATGTCTTAGTTAATGTTCTGACTAGAAACATTCCAAAGTACTAAGCGAAGATTATGAAGAAGTTCTTTGATAAAATAACCTTTTATTCAAACGCATCTGCTGACTCTGGTAAGAACCTTTACTTTTTTAAATGTATCTTCTAACTTCTAGCAGGCTTCTTGATTCTGAAGATAACTTGAAAGCAAGCGTTGTTCAAAGATCTTAGCAAGCAACGCTCTGACCAGAAGTTGAATGAAGCATGTTCTGAGTTAAAGCAAATACTGAAACAATGTCTTAATCAATGTGTCTTGTCAAAGCAAAGGAAACACGTTCTTACATTCTGACGTTTGCTAATTAATGCAAAGACGGCTGAAAGCACTCAAGTGCCTACAACTAGTTTCTTGGAGAATGGAATTTTGCAAGGATACACGCAAAGCATTTAATGCTCTCCATTTCCT